GACTCAGGTCACCCAACAGTCCCTGTGCTAGGATTACCCAGCTACTAGCGACACCGGTGCTGCATTTTAGATCTTCCAAGAGTTACATGCAGCTCAAGAGCCGAGGCAGGCCACCCCTGATGCAGTGTCATCAGGACAACCTGTGCAACACTACTGCCATCCCAAAAAGCATCATTATCTTTAAATCACCAAAAAATACCTTTTGGGTTGTTTACTATCCTAGCTGTTACCAGAATTTAGCGATGTATTTGCAACCAACATCATCTTCTGATCAACAGAACCTCCTTAGGTGAAGAAAGATTAAATACACCTTGTAAATCTATGTGCCAACACCACAGCAGTCTGCAGATTTCATATCAGCTTAACACTTGCATATAAGTTACCTATAAAACCTCAAAATTAACTCCTTACTGCACAGGCCAGGCTATACAGCAAATGATTAGCTGAGTGTACTAATCTGCTGCCTGTGAAATACGTTAGTATCAGCAGAGGAGCAGCAATCTGCTCAAGGGAGAGGTGGCATCAAGCAAGAGAAGCTATGAAGCAAAGCGTTCAGTTATTTGCATTATTTTGGGAATTTACATCTAAGGTGCCATTTTATATAATACTAACTTGCATGCAAATAAAAAACCCTTCACCGAACGGGTGAATTTACAAAGAAATTCTGATTTTTTTCATTTTTAAAATGTTTTTTTCCCCCAAATGAAAGATACTGTAACTGTTATTAGAACTGTCCATTTTCCTTTCCTTATACTGTTGTATAACATCTACCACTCGGCAACAAATACTACCAGTTCCCATGAATCTTTTGTTATGATGTGCAGATGTAAGGCCTGTACTACAATTGCTTTTGTGCTTGACATACTCAGATGCAAGTTTCCAACTTTCAAAGAAACAAAAGAAGTAGGTCCATAAAGAAAGAAAGTATATGTATTCCCTGCAAAGGTTTTGCGTGAAAAAGAAAAAAAGATAAAAGTCTGCTGGGGGAGGGGTATGCATTAAATCTGAAGATCTTCCCCAATATGCAAAGTACTTCATCCAGACATCAACTTCAGCTGTCATAAAAAGTGTTGTAGCTCTTTGTACTCTAATTCCATTCATTAACTGAAAACCTTTGCAACCTGAAAGCTTTACAAGAGTTTAACAATTAAGGTAACTCTATAGAGTCACTTGATTTTAAAACACGTCCTGAAAAGTAAGCAATTAGTCAGCACTTTAGGAGGCACTTAAAATTCCCTTTGTGGTGAACAATACATCTTGAAGTGAGAAAAGCCAGTTCATTTTGATAGTGCTTCTTATGACGAAAGCTGATCAAGTTGTGTAAAGGGTAATTTTGGGGGAACTGTAATGATGATAATGAAGTCTTTTCCCTGAGGACAAAAGGGCTGTACAAATTAAAAAAAATTACAAGAAAACAGCAATACAAATACACAATACTGCATTTTCAAGCAGTACTTGCTCAGTGATCTGAATAGATATGCCATTTTTTTTGATCTTGAGTGCTGAAGCAGAAAAACCTCTTTTCCACTTGCTCAACTTTCATGTGAGCAGTTCCTAAATGCTCCTAATGCACTAAAAACTGATGCTCTCCTGCACTTGGTGATCTAACACCTGGTCTTCCCCTGGCAAAAAGTCAACATTAAAGTGTCAGAGTATGTGTTATTCCCAGCTGCTGATCTTATTAAGAGGGTCTCATGTTTAACACAGGTCAGGAATGAACAGTTTCAGAAAGGATGATTAGGACCGAGAAGCCTTCCTGAAACTGCCCTGAAACCCCTCACTTCAAAAGGCAGCTGAACAAGCACCCCACATCCCTCTCCTCTTCATCTGAGCTCCCTTCTCCTCTCTCCTGGTACACACACAATATTTTACTGAGTATCAAGACAACTAAAATACAAAAAAGTAAACTAAGTTGTAGTGTATGAACGTGAGAAATGAGAAGCTCAAACCTCAAAATGTATGTAGGAGATGGCCAGTAAGAGGAGTCTAGACATCTTAGATTCTGGTGGCTTCCTAGACAAAAATACCAGAGTAAAAATTAGACTTGGCTGCTGTGTCTCAGTTAACAACTGAAAATATTTTCCATTAGTAAATGTATTGCATTTCTCATTATTGATAACAGACATGGGAACCAAGTCTAACTTCTACTCCAGTATTTCAGTTATACATATAACCTCACACACAATTAACAGATGGTTTTGGCAGTGACAGCAAAGGCTACCCAAATCAGCTATTCTTTAATCACCACTACTGTTGCTGTAACATGAAAGAGTCCAACCATATTTCTCCAAACTATCACAACAGCATTGAGTAGTGACCTTCAGAGAACGACCTACAACAGACAGGTTGATCAAAAGACATGAGTGTTGGTGAAACATTTAATTTTTTCTATATGGGTCACTGCCAAGAAAATGCATTATTCATGACTACGTATTTGTGCTAGCTTATACTGTTCTTAACATTTCATTTCAAAGTAGGCATTCTCATGTTTTCAGTAAGATAGATACATATAATAAAAGTGTACACACAAGCACAGAACAGACGAGTAATTTGGTACTTAAATCAACTTGATCGTGAAATACTTGATGTATCCTACTTCAGGATCAAACTACATTTGACAAATAAACTTCAATGAAAAATTGAACTTCTGGGTAATGACGACCTTAGTGTAAATTTTGCTGCGAAATCATTTCTTTTCATGAATTGCAAGAGTTTATAAAACTGTATCTGGAATAACCATCAACGGAGCATAATAGGAGATGGATAAGACTCCAGGAAAATGAGAGGGGTTTTGCTTTTCCAAGTTTCAGATTTTATTAACTGTTCTTAGATCCTTTTATGGCTTATTCCTACCACTGTCTGCCAGGCAACAGTGTGAAACCAAAGGACATTTATAGGGCTAAAAAAATGTAAATATTAGTGAAAGAAGCATGCATACAAGAACAGCGTGGGGATTTTTTTTTTTTTCTTTATATCCCTCTGCTGATGCCATCCTTCCACCTATGTTTCAAGCTTTGGAGGAAGTTCTGAAATGTAACCAGATTTATTAAAAAGCTGAGAGGTTTTCTGTCATAAAACTACACACAAGAATTGCAATTTTTGCAACTGCAATATGGTAAGACAGAAAGTGGATATATTACTGTATTACCTTCCTAAAACATACTCTTCCTATAACAACTTAGAAAGTGACCTCTACAAAGATTTAGAAGAAAAAAATATTTTTGTCCTTCAATTACAGTTGTTGGAGGGTTTTTTGTTTTGGTTGGGGTTTTTTGTTTGTTTTGGGGAAGGCGGCTGTTGGTGTTTGGGGTCTTTGAGTTGTTTTGGTTTGTTTTAAATCTAGGCATATTGAAGCATTTACTTCTACTGCTTTAACAGATCATCAGTATGGAAAAAGTTATGAGTTCACTTTATCTTTGAACTATTTCATTTTTTGTTCTTGTAGTTTCCTCTTCACGTAAAGTATTATGAAAGAGTGCAAGACTATGCAATCATCTAGTTTTGATAACTGAGCATATTATTGTGCGTATTCGGAAAATATAAATACTTGTCTAAAAAAGACCAACTGGCTTGACAACAGCACATTATTCCTAACTAATGAGAATCTTTGTCTCTCTGGCTACAAGCCAAATCAAAAACACATTGATTGTGTTTTTCCTCCCTTTTCTCTCTCAGTTTTGGGATGGTGGGTGGAAGGGGCATGAGCGTTACATCTTTTCCATTCTTAAATGGGTTTAGAATCTAATAAAATAAAGCTAATGCTATCATTGGCTCCAATTTATAAGTTGTAAGGAGATAGGAAAAGCATAAATCCATCCTTTTGTTATTTGCAAAGCTGGAAATATAAGTAATGCAAAAGAAACATCTTTCCTGTTTGTATATTGTCAAATGCCTATTGAAACTGTGGAAGAAAATATTCAAGATATGGTATTTCTATGAAGTTCAGGAAAGAAGCCATGTTTTACAAAGAGACGTTCTTCTTTTGGAGGAAAAGACCCAAACACGCAAGTTCAACAAATTATAATGTAAAGAAGCTGCAAGCAGCTAAAACAGCCCTCATTTTTCCAAAGAAACAATGCATTGATTTATCCCCCAAAAAAGTTGACTGAAAAAAAAAATGTGAAATGGCAGTACAGTAGATTCATTTTCGTGCTTGTTCAGGAAAAAAAGATAATATAAATAAGATCTATACTACAGACAAAAAAAAAAAAAAAATCAAAAGATTACAGCATCAAGGATATTCCATTAGCCTTTCACTTTGGGAGACCAGTCCCTTTACCTACGGGGTAACCCCAAGCTAGCCATTTACGTAACATCACCAAAAACACCACTGAATTTAGTATTTCTGGCAATCACAGTTTTGTCCCAAGAACAGAACAAAAAGATTATACTGTAAGTCACATCCAGGGACTGAAATGAGAGCTGAGAAGACCTGTTCTAGAATGGACTAAGCCAAAACACATTTAAAACAAAAGTTCCCTGAAGGGTGGGGAGAGGAACCCTTCTGCAAATTTTCTGGTTAAGTGCTAAAACATGTCTCAAATTGTTTTTAATACAGTGTATTGATTTCTCTCATTTCTTCTGCCGTTTCAATAAAGCATAAATATCAATAATGAACAAAGCTCCAAAAAACTCTGCTACTTGACACTACAGAGAGACACACGCCTGTCCACAGGCAGCTGATGGCCTTTCAAGCAGATTATATCGGATTTTACATTAGAACTTTTCCATTTCTGTTCATCTTCTGCACATTGCCAAAATAAGTTTCTAGCAGTTTTTAAAAATGTCTGATGATTCCTAGTTGTTCACAAACCAATATGAACGCAATTTCAGAAGTGCAAATTGTTTTCAAATCACACTAATAGAAAGAGAAGCAAATACTGCAAAATGGCTTAGGATAACTTCGATAACAGTACCATCGCTTATTTAAAATCATTCAACAAACAAGAAGTAGCACAAATTTTAATATTTGTAATTATTTTGTTTTAACAAAGACTTACCCTCTTGCAGGATCTAAAGCAATTGCTCTGGGTTGATCCAATTCTTGCCAAAACAAAACTTTTCTCAGTGATCCATCTAAATTAGAAACTTCAATCCGATTTGTTTCAGAATCTGTCCAGTATAATTTCTCTCCCAGCCAGTCACATGCCAGCCCATCAGGTGACAGAAGTCCAGAAATGACCACATTTTGTACACTCCCAGATTTATTGAATTCTGTTCGTTTAATGGCTTCTTCACTTACATCACTCCAGTATATCAACCCCTTTACAAACACGAAGTCCACTGCTGCTGCGTCCTCTAAGCCGCCCACAATCACCGTGGCGTTCTCCTTCCCGTTTGCAGCATCCACCAGTCGCAGATCGCGTCGGTTCGCGTACAGCAACAGTGGGGCAGCTTTAAATGGGAGAAATAAGGGGTGGGGGGACAGACAGATGCATTAACACCACTCATATTAAGAATAACTTGCACATGATGGTGCATCAGGCCATAACTACTAATTTAAGAAATTTAAAAAAAAAAAAAAAAAAAAGGGGGGGGGACAGTTTGAAGTTGGACTAAAAAGCACTGACTCAAAGCCTTTCAACAGTGCTACAACTCAAGATGGTAACTTTGTAATGGGCAGCTCATTATACTGGGCTGTGCATTATTAAAACAAGATTAAAGAAGAAGGGAGAGAACAAAGAAAACAGAGGTTTGAAGTGTCCAAATAACACTGTTCTGTATAGAAGGATGCTTAAATAAGAATCTGAAAGGGAACGGTAAAGCAGTTTCCTAAGCACCCAGTGCTGGCCCATCTGAGCAAAGATTCTTTTTTTTTGCTAGAATTTAGTAATATACACCCCACTTCTATAAAAGCATAATTCATGTCAAGCTATCAAAGCCACCTGTGTGTTGATACTCTCCAAAATTATGTAACTCGGACATTTTACATATAATACATACAAATACAGAATTCATTGCACAGCATGAAATGAATGTTGTTTTAGAGTGTTGACATTGGTATGAGGAGGTAGGGAGAAAAATAAATATAGAGAAATGGACAACACTGAGTTTTTTAAAACTCAGCTCCACCACTCCTGTTTAGTTGTCTAACACAAAGCCTTTATTTTATATGCTTTATTTGCTTACTCTATCAGTTTGCATGGTCTTATATTTTTCACACACAACACCCAAGAAGACTAATTAAAAGTAGTAACCATGAAAACAGATAGTTTCTTAAATGTAATATGGCTGTTTCATTGTCCTAACTACAAGCTACATATAACATTATGAAAATTCCAGCCTCGTTCC